ATAAAAAATGCTATAATATTCTATTAGTGTCAAGAAAAAAAGTTATGAAAAAGGAACAACGCGTTATATTTTGAGTAACAGTAACGGTAACGAATCACTCTTTAGGAAAAAAAACGATAACGGTAACGAATTATTTTTATAAAGCAACGTTGTCAACCCTATATATATATATACATATAATATATATAATTATAACCATATTTGTAAATCTAATAATATTTTACTCAAATAAATGTAAATTACCTTATAATTGAAGATTGCCAGCTTCCATTTCTTTAAATTTACCACTCACATTTTATTTCCTCTAATTCCTGAGATCGTACGAGGTCCAGTCCCGGATCAAAAGGATTAAATTCTTTGACCCAAAAAGTAGGACCGACGTTCGCACTGTCCATCGGAACAGGTGTCATAGCGTCCTTTCGGGATGTTGACCCATATTCCGGGACCGAAAAAGGTGCATGCGAATCACAAGTGTTCACCGCGTATATCTGTGAGATTGAGTCTAACCGTCTTCCATATCTTCTCCATTCTCTCTCATTGTCTCCTTGACTAAATTTTAAGGGTTTGGACGTAACATTATATAGCCATAAATTAGAATCACCTTGTATATGGGTCGTTTGAAAAGTCCGTGCAAAGTCATTGCTGATGGCACTACTGGCGCGTATCAAGGTTAGATTTAGTTAGTAGCATCTCTTGGAGGAACACACACCAAGTTACAACCAGATCGGTCTATTTGTTTGTGTTTGGCATTCATTTGAATCGAGGAAGTCGAGTGATTTTCAATAACGCACCAGCTCACACCTCAGCAGTTGTGGTCGCAAAATTAATGGAATTAGGGTTCCAACTCGTCTCACATCCCCCCTATTCTCCAGACTTGGCTCCCTCGGACTACTATTTGTTCCCCAATATGAAGAAATGGCTGGCGGGAAAAAGATTTTATGGAAACGAGGACGTGATTGCAGAAACAAACCCCCCTCGACTTCCTCGATTCAAATGAATGCCAAACACAAACAAATAGACCGATCTGGCTGTAACTTGGTGTGTGTTCCTCCAAGAGATGCTACTAACTAAATCTAACCTTGATACGCGCCAGTAGTGCCATCAGCAGTGACTTTGCACGGACTTTTCGAACGACCCTCGTATATATATATATATATATATACACATACACACATACAATATACATACAGAGTGGCTCTAAATTTTGACTCCACCCATTCTGAGAAGGACTAAACTGAGTCGAAAAGTCTTGTATCATTTTGTAATGCTCGCAATAATTGACAAGATATTAATGTTTAAAGATAGACGAATACGCGCGTCCGCCCGACCTATTATGCCGAAGGTATGACCCATCGAAAGCAGCGCCTGCTAAGGCCTCCCCGCTCCTCGCGGCCCGCGTGTCATACGACTGGTGGACTGTACCTTTCTGCTAAGGAGCATATGACTTCCCAAATAAAGCCAGTTTCTCACCTCTTCTCTTGCCAAAGGGCGGACGACTTTCTACGCGAAGCTACCTTTTTTTAACTTTTAAATTACACAAAACCCAAAAATAAGATCTTCATAAACAATATATCGTAACAATATTGTCTGTAAAGTTTCAACTCAATTGGAGGGGTATCTCATTCGGAAGAACACCCTATTTACTTGCTAAAGTATTGAACATGCATTTATGAAACACTCTGTATAGTATATCTCATGTACAATATATGAGTTATGATGTAGTCATGATAAAACTTGAACAAAAAAAAACAAATTATTTGTGTTATATTACATTAATATATCACTTGTGTTATATTACAATAATATATTACATTAACACGCACATACACACACGCGCGCGCGCACACAAAACGCAGGCGTGTTATCAACATACACACATTTCCAAAAAGCTTGCACAGCAGATATAATCCTGTTTGTTCGTATGATATATCAACATATTTTTTCACAACATACTGTAAATTTAACATAGAGCAATTGCATTTCATCATGAATCTAAAAGCGCACAATAGTTGATAAGTATGCAACATCTTTCTCCTCCTATTGCTTTACAGATTCATCGCGCTCTCAAACAGCTCCAGCATCCTTTTCATCTCTTTGCTGAAAATCAAGATAGAAAAAGGAATGTATATGCTTATAAAGAATAATCTCATTTTTTAAATACTCTAATATTCATGACAATTCATCGCAACAGAATTATCTAACGTAATTATAACGTATTTTTAGGGAATGAAAAGTTACTTTTTAAAAGTAACAAGTTCTAGTTATCAATTTTTAAAAGTAACTCGTTACAATTACCATTTACTTGAGAAAGTAATTTTTCATTACTTTCCCGTTTTTAAAATCAACGACTAGCAATCACAGCAAATAAGTATCTAGGGACTTTCTAATCTCAAGCGCTACGAGTAGCTTGTATCCAATTATGTGCAAAGTTAAAACAATAAGGGCTAGTTTCACCAACGCCATTTAACTTAATCGGCCATTGATTGACCAACCGCGTTTGCTGTTTAGTAGAATCGAGCAATTACGATTGACAGTTAAACACAATTAGACTCAATCGGCGTTGGTGAAAATGAAGCCCTATAAATAACTATAAAATTCGTTACCGTTAAAGTTACCAAAAAAAAAGTAACTCACGTTACCAGTAAAGTTATCAAAAAAGTAATTTGTAACAAGTAATGAGTTACTTCCAGTCTCTGTGTATTTTTTTCTTTTTTTGATTGCTGCTTGGATATAATCACACATTATAAATTTTATGAGTATTCTGAGAATAAAGTCAGAAATATATAAAAAAGTAAGACAGTAAAACGTAAACAGTAAGCGAATTGGCTAATCATATTAAAGAACTTAAAACAATAAAATTAACATTTTCTATTATATGTTTCTAACTTCAAAATTTTTGTCATAACGAAACATAGATTGAATAGAATCATTATATTGAATAGAAACCATGATTTCGATTTGAAAGATTCGGAAATTCTTGATATTAAACGGTTTCTTTATAAACGACGCATTTCTAAAATGTTACACATCCAATTATAATACAAAAAAAAATAGGTTAAATCTTCAGTCCGATCAGGAATTCTTACATCATTCATACATTTCGATTCTCAATAATTTGTACTAATTTCTATTACGTGTGGTATTAATTTCTTTATAATGCATTTCTTGTTAGGAATATTTTGTTGACGTTAATAATATTGATCATTCATTTTTACGTCATTTGCAAAGTGCCTTTTCATGCTGAACACTCATTTCTAGCGTCAAAATACTCGTAGATCAAAATTGATGCTTAATATTCATCAATTTCTATCATGTGACTTATTTTGGCGCAAAAATGAGCGTCGAGTGTAAGAATGAAAAGGTACCTTATAAGGTACCATTATAGGTAATTTCTTTTCATGTTCATATTAGAGACCATAGTATAACAGAGATGCGCAAAGAGTCACGTGATCGTAATTTCTCTGATTGGATGGAGTCTCTCGTGCATTTTATTTTAAATTATATTCACATACAAAGAAAAATTACTCAGCTATATTTAATGTAACGTTTAATTTAATCAGTCCATAGTTTAATTTCTTTGTTAATATGTATAAAAATAATCACATTAAAATCAAAAATGTAAAAAAACAGTATTTTTTACTTCGAAGAAAAGTATAAAGTAAAAGAAATTAATGAACACAATTAATTAAATAAACAAATATAAATATAAATAAGGACTCTCAATATTAAACAATAAAAATAAAAAATAATAAAGTTCAGATGAGGTTATTGAGAGTCATACGCTGTTATAGATGCGAAAAGACAGGAGAAGTAGATAATCCTTAAATGTTCATAATTATCTTCATTTTATTTCGAACGTTTCGGCTCATTTTTGAGTCTTCATCAACGACTATAAAATCAAAAATTCATCCATTGAAAGCAAGTCACTTGCATTAAAAATGCAGCATTCATTACACTGCATCAAATTTATAATTTAACATTATGAGGGAAACAAAAAATCAAATAATAAAATCAAATAACTCATCTCAACAGAAAACGAAAAAATGGAGCTCAGAAATAACGATTCACAATCATACCATTAGTTAAAAAAGTTACACTATATATTAAATCTCTATCATTATGTTGTACATACACGAAATCATATTCAGAAAAACGAAAGAGATTTAATATACAGTGTAACTTTTTTAATTAATGATATGATTGTGAATCATATTTCTGCGCTTCATTTTTCCATTTTCCATTGAAGTGAGTAATTTGATTTTATTATTTGATATTTTTCTTATCTCATAATGTTAAATTGTAAATTTGATGCAGTATAATGAATGCTGCATTTCTGCCAATCTGCAAGTGACTTGCTTTCCATGGATGAATTTTCGATTTTGTAATCACTGATAAAGCCGACTCCAAAGTGAGCCGAAACGTTCAAAATAAAATGAAGATAACCATGAACATCTGAGGATTATCTACTTCTTCTATCTCTTCGCATCTACAATAGCGTATGAGCTCTCATTAGCTTCATCTGAATTTTTATTATTTTTTATTTTTATTGTAAAAAAAATTAATTTTTTTACTGTAAATAACGGTATTTTGACCAAATTATATAAAATTCATGAAAAAAACATATAGTTATTTCAATATAATTATTTAAATGACAGATATTTTATATTTAAAACCTAAATAAGTAATAAGCTTTTTGAGGTTTTTAAACATGTCTTCATGTAACATTAAAAGATGTTGAAAACGCTGTTTCAACATTACCAACATTACTAATTGGTAAACGATTATGCACGCACGCACGCACGCACGCACGCACGCACAAACTATAGCATACATCTTACTATAGCATATAACTTACTATACCTTTTACATGCGTACAACACATACTATCCACTATTGTTTACAATAATTTATTTTATACATTTTGTTAACTTCAGAGGATAAACCTGTTACACTCCTCAATTGAATACCGATGTTGTTCTGACTCACACATCGACGTCATTTCTTTTTAACCAGTGACACGTTTGACAATTTCGTTAAATTATATTATCGTTTATTCAACTCTAATACATGTTTATGATTAACTTCGCCGATAATTTTATTATAACTAATTTTATTATAACAAAGTATTTTGTTATTATAATAATTGACCAATATATTCGTCGGTTACATCATTGTGGGGTAAGTCTTTCTTAATCATGACATAAAAACATTTCTAGCCTATTAATTATTATTAATTAAATTTCCAGTCATTCACTACCACCATCCAGCTTTCAAACTGAAGATTTTATTCTGTAATGGAGGAATGTTACTCCACACAATGATATCAGTTGTTACTTCATTATACAATGATTTTTATACGACGCATGGATAACGTATCGTACCATATACTGAAATTTTGCTGAGAAAGGCTAAAAGATTAGTCGAAACATGTATATACAAATAATAATAATATAGAATTATTTTAAAGAAACAAAAACTGCGCATTGTCTACAGCGCTAATTCCTAATTGCCTGCCTATTTAATTTTTCTTTTTGAATAAATAAGTGATGTAATACAGATAATACTTTATAAGCATAATAGACACTATTTTGTTGTATATTGGTTATAATTGTACTTTATATTTTAAATAGTTACATCTCAGAGTTCTTTAGTCTCAAGATCTTTTGAATAATAATTATTTTTTACATTTAAACTCTTCTCTAAATTATTTAAAATTGTGAGGATCGAACATTATCAAACTTCAATTATAAGAAGATACATGAAGCGGTATTATACTGTAATCACATATAATTCGTTTCATATCAATCTGATTTTATGGCATGAAGAAGTTCCAATTAGAAAATATGACTACTAAACAATACGACTAAAGTATAGTTTCCGGATGAGACTACTTCCTAAAATCCGAGGAATTATTTCATCTTTTCAAACATGCGAGAATACATGCGTTTTACATGATTAATTAATTGCGAGCGTCTTTGCAAAATTACCAGCAATATTACAAAATCAAACATTGAGAATGACAATAGAAGTCGAAATGTCTGTTGTATATAATCTGATTGTTTATTAAAAAGTTTTTCTCACTTCACATCTAGAGTGATCTCTCTTTCTCACAGATCTAGAGTGGTTCGTAGAATTTTTATTATATTATTTTATTTTATATTTTAATTATTTTGAGACAATATCTCAATATAATTTTGATTCAAGAGTAATTAGAGATTCAATAAACGTTGTCTCACTAATTTAAATTTAAAATATATATAATTACAGTCATAGTATACAACAAAAACAGTGTCAATTAGTAAAGTATTATTTTTTGTATTAATAACATTATTTGTATTAGTAACAGTATGGAACACTTACTTAACTTTTAAAATTGAAGTACAGTACAAAATATCATTCAAATAATAGTGAAAGATACGGTATATTTATGGTCATTCGCATTATACTTTTATAGGATAAAATTTATTATTGTTCACCAATTGCGCAACATAATCTAATTTTTACATTAATATTAAAATAATTAATAATAAAAATTTACGGCATTTAGCTTCATCTATTTCTTTATCTTTATTCTTATAAATTTCTAAATAAAGTCAACATTATTAAATATTATTTTAAATAAGAGGAATCCTATATTTGGTCAAAGCGGATCTTAATACTTAAATACATAATTCTTTGTGAATTTATAACATTCTAATTTTTCATACCGCGTGACCGAATATAGGATTCCTTTATTTAATTTTTACATCCACAATACTACATTTAGACACAAGACACTCCAATCAGAGAAATATTACAATCACGTGACACTTTATGCATCTCTGTTATATTATAAGGTCTAGTTTCGTACTGCATGTATTATTTGCGACTTATTCGAATGTTGACCTTTGTAAGAATCGTTTATCATCTCGATTCGTTACAATGAAAATTTAACAAATTCATGTATTTTAAATTTTTGAGAGATTTAGATTTTCATGGCTATGCAGGTGAGTGCTTTACTCTTTCTCTTCCTTCAAACATTGTGATAACAGTAATTTTCTTTTTTCTTTTTCCTTAATTTAGACAGAATTTCGTTACATTATTTGTTGCCTCTTGATTTACTAATCATGTATCAATGGAAATAGATCAATGGATAAGAATGAGATTGAATTTTTTTTCTTCCGTCTTGACATGAAGAAGTTAGAATAGAAATTAAGTATTAAGCGTAACATATTTCGGCTCAAAGCATAGCCGAAACATCTTGTAATTACTAATCATGTTCTAGCTTAATTAAAAATTGAAAAAATTTGATATTTGTTTCGCACTAATTACGCGCAAAACTCTTATTCTTTTATTTTTCTCTTATTTAAAATTTCTTATTACACTTAAGTTAATAAAAAACAAATAAAACGAACCACAGGAAATGTTTTCTTCTTTATATTTTCATTTTTCTTTTAATTAATAATAATATCTAAGAAAAGTTCTAAGTTTAAACTTCGTTATAATAATCTCTACGTATTCATCAAATTAATACTTGATTCAGCATATAAGAAAGTTTTAATAAATTCAGACGTTCTCCTTCTATAAAAAGAAAAGACTTTATGTCTATTAAGATAAAATGTCAACATTAGCATAATCACATAAGACATACGGAGAATTTAGTACTCTTTCTGTTCCGATTTTAATCAATTTCATTTTTTACTATTGTCTTATCCGTAGGGGGGTATGTTACCCTGGTCATTCCAGTGTTTAAATATCTCTGATAATCTATTTTTGATTTCACAGAATATGAGTTTCAATGGATATCCGTTGTTCAACTAAATTGTCGAGAATCATAAACTTGGAATTTGCGTTACTTATGTAATTTCTGTTTATAGTTTATATTAAAGACCCGAATTGAAGGGTTAAAACGTTTATTTTATTCGTATTGTTACATTCACGAAAATAAAGAATTTTCTGTGCATCTGAACAGCTGATGAAGGTTCCGATGGACTTTTTTACATTTCACTAACAGTATTTTTTTTAGTAAAATATAATATTCTGAGTAAATAAAGCATATTGCATTGTATTGTAAATAATACGCTTACATTTACATGTGTTCCGAGATCCGAGACACAAAATTGAAAGTTTTAACGCAACAACCTGGGAAAAAGAAATAAAAGATTAGAGTACTAAAAAATTTGAAAACTTATATAAGAAAAAATATTTTATTAAGATTAAATGAAAAAGAGCATACAGCCACGCTACATATGTAAAGTAGTAGATTGTAATTAAATTATTTTTTCAGAAATAAATTGAGAGTCGATAATTTATCGGATTCACACAATCATTCTGATAATCCCCCCAAATTTTTCCCAAATCTTAAAAATTGTAATAAACTTATTGCGAAAAATATTGCCTCGGCCGGGAGTCGAACCCGGATCTCTTGCATTCCGTGCGAGCGTCCTGAGCCTTTAGACTGTCGAGACCTTAGCAACACTCTTCGCAATAACCGATATGTATAGTGAGTTACGCATGTATAAGCGCGCGTATTATAAACAATATGATTGGAAATGAGACCGTCTATATAATACTAAAACTTTAAATACTTCTAATAAATTTGAAAAATGGAATTTTAAAACACATCATAATGCTCGTGTAAGATAAATTTTAAATATTAGAAAGTGGCTAAATTGTTACAAAGATTAATATTTAAAATATTTTATTCTTTCAGAAAACTCCTTAAATAATGATTTGCATAATTCCTCGACTGATGATCATGATAATGATGATGATAATGATATTGATATGAATGCAATATATGAAAAATCTATTAACAATTCAGATTGGAGAAACGAATTAATGAAATATTACAATACAAAAAGGGTAGACAAGGATGTTGACATATTAGCATGGTGGTCAACTAAAGGAGTATCCATGTTTATCAAAAATGGCTCGAGACTTCATAGGAATGCCAGTCTCGTCCGTTCCAGCGGAACGATTGTTTTCGAAAACTGGATTAATCATACGCAAGCACCGTAGCCAGCTAACTGTTGAATCCACCAGATCATTAATATGCCTAAACACGTCAAACTTATAAGTTAAATTTTTTTAAACACATTTATTTGCTAAAAACTTACTGTTTATATTATTTTAAGAATAGGATTAAGGTAAGAATACCTAATTATATGTACTTTCCTGATAAAATTATAATAAATAAATTTATTTATATTCATATATAAAACAAGTGTACTTTTCAAAATATTTTTCGCAAATTTCGTCGAGGTTCGAGATCGAGATCGAGATTAGATATTCTAGATTCTCGAAAATCCGAGATCGAGATGCATACTCCGAGATATTACAAGATCGAGATCGAGATTGCAGAAATCTCGTCTCATCTCGTGCGCATCTGTAACTAACACTATAACTTAATGCTAATTATTTAGTGCTCGTAATATAAAGTAATTGAAATTTTGGAGCACTACTCTTTACGCAAAAAAAAATCGATAATTATGCCCTTCAAGGGACACGCTAATGACCTTGACCTTGACATACGTTGTCAAGGTCATAATCCTGAGTGATCTTCAGTTAAAAAGTTATTAACAAAAAAAGTTTGAAAAATGGTGTCCCTTATTTACTATATGAAACATAAATTTCCTGCTTTAAAATATATTTTACGACTTTTCACGTAAAACGACTCCCACTCCACTTCCCCCTTGCCAAGGGAGCGTGAAAAGTCGTGCGCCCCTGAAGCGGGGAAGGGAGGGAAGGGAAGTGAGGTAAAAGTAGTGTTGTCAATCGTACAAATACGATAATTTAAATCTTTATACAATGTACGATTCAAAGGGTGACATCGTACGTAAAAATACAATAATTCCGCTTTACTTATTTCAGATGGTTGAGTTAAAATGCATTTTATTGTAATAAGAAGTACCAAAAACACATGCACATGTGGTCATAAATCATGAAAATGCTATAGCGCATACTCGCATCAAGATCTGCTTGCCAAGCAATTAGACATGATTGTTTAAATCGACAGGTAAGAATCAATCATATTCATTCGCTCGACAAGTATACCTAGCCGCAAAAAAACAAGAAAAAAAATGTTTTATATATTAGTTTTTGTTTGAACAGAGTCTATATAGGGAAAAAATTTATATTTGTAGCAATATGACATAATATTTTAAAAATTTATAATACGGACATTTGAAAACTAAATATTTAATATTGAATGTAGAATATTGTAATTATTTGTAATTGAAGGAACGTATAAGCGGAATCAAAGAAGGTATAAGAAGGGATATGAGGAAAAAAGATGAGAAGAAATGAAAAGGATGAATATTAAGGCATTTCTGCTCTCGTAAAAGAAAAAAAATTTATCTGTACGAGCATGTCGGCTGAAATACAATAACTTCGATGCATTCGTACGATTTGTAAGAATGCGAAGGTTGGTAACACTGGATGAAAGTTAGACTTCGCGTGGAAGTCGTGCGCCCTTGAAGCATTAGGGGAGGCGGAGTGAAAATTGCTTCGCGCGGAAAAACGTAAAATATATTTTAAAGCAGAGAATTTCTGTATCATATAGTAGAAAAGAGATTTTTCTCATTTTTCAAACTTTTTTTATTAACACAATTTATATAAACTAAAAGCCTATACCTATAATCGAAACTGGATCTTTTTAATGCTTTTTTTTAAATAATTTATATATGAAATTATATACTAAGTATATGTAGTTATTTGAACTACGCGCCGAAATAATTTTTCGAACTTATGAACGCAATCAAACTACTATAATAATATCACAAATTAAATTGATAAGCACTTGAATAATTGGATGCTCTGGCATCCTATTAGAAAGATATTAATGTACTGAAAAATAAATTTATTGTAAAAAATATTACCTCGGATGGGAGTCATATTCGGATCTCTTGTATTCTGACGAGCGTCCTACACCTTTAGACTATCAAGTTTTTTTGTTAATAACTTTTTAACGAACAGCAACCTAAAACTGCTGGAGATCACTCAGGGTTATGAGCTTGACAACATCAAGGTCATTGGCGTGGTGTCCCTTAAAATGCATAATTACCAAAAAATCATTTCATTTGCGGAAAACAACCCCTACAACATAATGTCCCTTTTGCTGTAAACCAATCAGTAGAATTTTATGAAATTTCCCATGAAATATCGGGCACCTACAAAATGTACTGCATGCGATCGAATGTGAATTTGCAAAATATTCTTCAAGTTTTCTCCTTTGCTGATTTGTGTGTAATTCCTTAGAAATTCATACAAGAACACAAAAAAAATACTTCAAGAAGTTTAATGTTTCGAATTTCTGAGAACTTCTTAAAGCATTCATATAGTATTCCCTCTATATCAATAGATATACCTTATAAATTCAAGAAGAGAAGTAGTTAGAATAGGCATATAGATTATAAAATATCCAGTAAGGTCCAATTTCACAACTCACGGTCAAGTTAATTCTTAACTTAGGATCAACTTATTTCTCATCTCTTCCAATTCTAGAATTGGAAAGAAGTAATCAATAAGTTGAATCTCGGTTAAGAGTTAACTGTGAGTTGTAAAATTAGACCTACCAGGTGTACAAGTATGTAATGCGGATTTTTTTCTAAAAAAACATGTTAAATTCGGAAGAGTGATAAAAAGATCTTTATTCAAAGTATGCTCCATTGCTAGTTACATATTTTTCCCATCTTTCGGACAATTTGTGGATACGCCAGTAAAAATCTTCCCCCTTTGCCGCGAACCATTCATCGAGCCATTTTTTCACATCTTCGTACGAACCAAAGCGCTGCTCAGCAAGTGCGTGACCCATCGATGCAAACAAGTGGTAATCGG